ACGTGACTGAATTATAAGATCGGAAATTTGGCCACAAAACAAAAAAGTGGTGGCTTTAGACTGCGTGCACCATACTAATAAAGAACAATAGTTGAAGCATTATTATGCTTTCAGATTTTTTTCTCGAATGTTCTGTAATAAATCTAGAAATTTCTAAAAAATTTTTTGCTACTATAAAAAGAATGATATGCATGGACAAATCCGGAAATCTCTCGGACTGGAATATACCAAACGCTTTTTTACCTTCTTCATAAGTGATAATGAAACTTTCCTCCTCTTCCTTATCTTCATCATCATCAATACTTGGAAATAACTGGGCAGGGATATAAACGGGGTACGTGTTGTTAATACTGATCCGTTAGTTGAAACTTTGACCTACGCCTTGTCTGAACCAATATAATAATTCTTGACAAGTGCTATTGCGGTGAATGGTTTTCAATACATATTGGCATATATAATCATTCAAAGATATCCTCTAAGGCTGTTAGCCATAGTTAATTTTATAAATAAGTTAATTGGTATATTTGTGTATAGAGCACTTGTTCAATTACTCATCAATGGCAACAGAAAGTATTGAATCTTCAACTATCTTTTCATGATCACAAAAACTATCCTTTACAGCGATTCTGACCAGGTAGTATTTCACCATTCCGATCCAATTACCCAAAGAATCCGGCTCAGGTTTCTTAACAGATGACCATTGCAATCCTGAAACGGTTGCATCCAGATGGCCACCAATCTCCTTCCCAAACTTATCCACCTGTCGTTCAAGCATGCTTTTTATCTGACTTTTTACTGCAACTGGTGGACTTATAGTCAAGTCTCTGATACGACCATCCTCACGAAAGCCCACTTCGACTACGAATTCAAAGTCTTTGTAGTAAAAACTCTCGTTTGAACTGCTTTGCTATTTCAACCACGATTGATTTCAACGATGCAACAAATCTGTCTATATCTGTGGCTATTAATTTTCTTCGAAATGACAATTCTGGAGGTGGTGACAGAGTAACTACGGGCTTGGTGCGAGGAATAAGGAAGCAGTCCAGCTCAACTTCATTAACTTCAAGTTCTTCACGTGACATTGGAATTAGGCCTTTACCTACAATTGGCTTGGCAAAATAAGTAAAAGTATTGCTGAGACAAACACAATTACGACATGTACACAGTTACCATCATCGGGTATCGGCACTTTCCCAGTACGATAAAATATTCATCATTCGTTGACTTTGGTACAGTCCAGTTTGTATTCTCACGAAACATCATTCCAAGTCTGGTCTCAGGATAGCTGTTAGAGTATGGCGATATGTCTCATACTTGATGAATTTAATAACGTTTATTAAAGTAATGTTTTTGTTCTGTCTTTATTGCAAAGCACAACAGGCTTACCCTAACTCCTCCAACGTTGAGAATGATGCACTCTTTAGCTGGTTGTTCCTGATTATCATCAATTGTTTCCTGTACAACTGCTGACATAAACTTGGATTCACTTTAACAAGTAATGTTCTATGGTGCACTAAAACTCAAATTCTTCGACGCAGTGTAATGAATAAACAGCCCAATAAAATTCAAGAATTTAATATCATATGGGGCATGCTGCAACAAAATCAGACAAAGTGAACCTTTGACGTCAAAGATTTACATCCTAGTTTTTACATGTAATGACCATAATAATAAAGTAGAGTTTGAAGATATTGTTACGGCAAGCTGATCTGATGAATCAGATAAGTTAGTCACCTGATAAAATCTTCCTCCGCAGTTAAACAAA